TGTAATTTTCTTTGTAGAGGTCTTTTACCTCCTTTGTTAGGTTGACTCCCAGGTATTTGATTCTTTTTGTTTTAATTGAAAAGGGGATGGTTTTTTTTTTTTTTAATCTCTGTTTCTTCTGCTTGGTTATTTGTGTATAAGAAAGCCTCTGACTTTTGTGTGTTTACATAAATAATTTTTAAAAATAGTGTGACTCACATTACCTTTTGGCCTTTGGGAAACTAGATTTAGAAAGACACTGGTAAATGCCTGGTTGTGATGCTGAGACTTCTATTGGAGAAAGCTAAAATACATACTTCCTACTAATGTGAAGTGCACCTAGTGGGTATATTTGTACATAGCATTAACAGTTATAATAGTTAATGGCTATTAATTTTCTTAATCGATCATGAGGTGTCTCAGAATACTCTCTTTAGGATATATACCTTTGGTATCTGCTACAGGTTTCACATACTACTAGGTGATAAAGATATATTGGTGCAACTGACAAATTGTGATATAAAAGCTCTAAAACTTTAAAGACACTAAAAGTGATTTTGAAAGATAAAATGACTATACTAACATAATTAAGTTAAACACCCATTTTTGCTTTTATTTAATTATTTGTATTTGCAGGAAAGCTATTTTGATTAAAAAGTTAATATTAAAATTAAGGGAATGGTCTTTGGAAATAAGTCAATAAAGATTATTTCTGGGATCAGAGAAACAATAGATCAGTTATTGTGATACTTAAAATTCAATAATTCACATCAAGAATATGGCAAATAGGTTAATAGTGAAGAATAAACATAGTTTTATCTATCCAGTTATTACACTTGAGATTTTGTATTATTACACTTGAGTATTATGTAGCAGTACTATCCACTTTATAAAAAATCAGTTTAGGCCCTCCCTGGTGGTGCAGTGGGTTAAAACACTGCACTAAGAAGCTTAAGCCACTTCTGCATGAGTTCGATCCCTGCCTGCCCCGAGGAGCTCCACATGGCTGTGGCAGACCTCTCCTGACCCGCCCGTTGCTCCCCTCAGCAGTGGACTTTGTTGATCTGCCTGTTCTGCTCCCCACTCTGTCCCTGGGAATCCTCTCACCCTCCGCATCTCTGGCCTATACCCCAGTTCTGTATGAATAAATAAATAAATCTTTTTTAAAAAATCAGTTTAAAGAACAAAAATAAATTCTTAAGGGTTTAAATGTCATTGACTTTAAGTTGTAAGTGGAACAGTATCTATATTCTAGTATTGTTCTTGTGGTGAAGTCATAATTTCCTCATTTTCTTCCCCTCAGAGGAAAATTTGCTGTGGTTAGACAGTGTATATCAAAAACTACTGGCCAAGAATATGCTGCAAAATTTCTTAAAAAAAGAAGAAGAGGACAGGATTGCCGAGCAGAGATTCTCCATGAAATTGCTGTACTAGAATTAACAAAGTCCTGTCCTCATGTGATTAATCTTCATGAAGTCTATGAAAATACAAGTGAAATCATTTTGGTATTGGAATAGTAAGTATATACTCTATTGCATTAGAGTAAATTGTTTTAATTGATGAAATAAGAGAATTTGAAATGTAAAGAACAGGAATGACAAAAATAATATGCAACTTATAAGATTCCTTTTGATAACATATTAGAGCAACACAGTTTATATTCAAATATTTTCATAACGTTAAAGATACAGCCTTAAATACATATTCATAGGACAAAAATAAACAAATGCCAAACAATGCTTGGGGAATATGGTAAATAAATATTCCTTCACTGCTAATGACACCGAAAATTGATATACATATATATTTTTTACAAAATTATCTGATAAATAGGTTAAATGATTTTGTGTGTGATGATGTATATTTCTTACTGTATCACCTCAGGTGACTGAGATCAGATTGTTTCACTGGTGGCTAAGGTGGAGTCTGCCAGCCCTCGCTGTTGTAAGGGACATGTCCCCTTTTGTAATTAATAAGTAATCTGTGTAGTTATATTTTAAAACCTTTTGACTATTTAATAACTTTTCATACATTTATTTCAGTAAACATTGATGATTCAAATAATGCAATTCTTATTTGAGTTATTTTAATGAATGTCAGAAAATGTTGATCTCTAGTTGTTTTTCCTTCTGTACTATTCTTTAAGGACTGCTCTCACTTTTCTCCCTTTAACTATCACTTGTGGACTTATGGGAATTTTTAAGTTAATGAATTGTAATTAATTTCTGTCAGTTTTAATTACCAAGTCCTGTGGTACCCTTTCAAGCTACTTCACATGTTCTTTATATGATCTTAGTGCTGCTTGAATAGTTTCTTACTTTATAAAGTAAGGATATCCAAGAAGAGTTTGTATTTTCTTTACTTTAGACCTGTTTCAGTTGTCTGTCCAAGAGATTTTGGTTCTTTTAGTGGAGAATAGTGTTTGGAAACCAAGATAATAAGTGTTTAGCATACTCATTGCTTGTGGAGGAACATTGTTTCTACGCCATTTCCAAGAATAACATTAGGAAATAATATTCTTTTAAAAACCATGTGTTCGTTTTGATAATTACAATTTAAGTTGCCCCAGAGACTTCTTGATCACCTCTCACCTTGCCACGTTTGGACCTCCCATGGTTAGAATCTGTGATTTAATGTTTACACACTCATTTGCTTATCCCATGATACACACAGAATGTCTTCAATTTAATAGCATCATTCACTTAGTAAAAGTCCCACTTTTTTACCATTTTTTTATCTGTACAATACAGCACACTATGTGTGTACAGTCAGAGTTATATGGTTATATACATGTGTTTCTGTTCATACTCAATTTTTGGATTTGCTTTTGAAATCCTTTAATTTTTTGAAATTAATAGAAACACATTACGTGATTCAAAACTCAAAGATACATATGTGCCTATCCTTTCTGTTGTCTTCTCACCCAAACTTTACAAATTAGCCATATTTATTTCTGGTTCATTATTCATGTGTATCTTCTTACAACTATATATAAATGAATGAATGAATAAATAAATAATCTTAATACCTAGTCCACAGGAAATTATTTTATTGCCAGTTATAAAGTCTAAATGATTTTTTAGTCTTTTGGATTATTTGAAAACTACTGTAAATACTATGTTTCTGGAAGGTAGTGGCAGTCTTCTTTATAAATTAGGGGGGGACAATACATCTGTATCAGTTGTTTTGAAAGCATTTGGAGAATTTAATAAAATATACAAAACTTAAAAAAAAATCCAGATAGAAGGTATTATCTAACTGGACACATTAAATATTAATGCTGAGTTTTAAGCTAATGATTGATTATAAAGAATAATTATTAATCCTTGGAAAGCATGGGGTAGGAACTTTGTCCTAGAAATAGCAAAGTTCAAAGGGGAAACTAGAAGTAGCAAAGTTCAAAGGGGAAATTGCTCATATTACCAGAGACCATTTGTGAGATCATATGGGAGAGGAATTTTGTCAAAAAATTATCAATATATGTTGTTCATTAAAAACGTTAATGCTATGAATGCAAGAGAATATGACAAGAACTATAATAAAATATGCAAAACTAGAAAACCTCACTTTCTAAAATAAGCTTGTTAGTCACCAAATGATATGTATTAATATAGTAAATAGTTTCACCAATACTATACTAAACACTTTTTTGTTTTCTTATTTTATTTATTGATTTTTTTCCAATCTCAGTTTTTAAAGCAGTCCTCCAAAATGAAGTCTGATAGTCACTTCATATTTTCTAGTTTAAAGGCAAGAAATAGTCTTTTAATTTCTTTCTATCCTAAAATTCCAAGGACTTGGTAGGCACAGGAATATAACTTTAAAAGAGACCCTTAGTATAAAAGTTTAAAGTTCCTTTATTTTGATCCCTAAGAAATATTTGTCTTAAAAATTTTTATTATCATATTCCACAAGTCTGGGCATATTTGTATTTTATGAGTAAATGAGATATTTCTTTATTGAAAATGATGATTCTTTAGCACATTAGAAAATCCATCATTTTGGATAGGAAAATAGGTATTCTGATTTTAATCTTTCATATATGAAATTTATTTTCCTTGTGTTATATCTTTTTAAACTTTTTAAAAAACTTATGCATGCAGAACTGGAGTACAGGTCAGAGGCACTGGGACGGTGAGAGGATTCATCAGAGACAGAGTGGGGAGCAGAACAGGCAGCTCTACAAAGCACACTGCTGAGGGGAGCAGCGGGCGGGTCAGGAGAGGTCTGCCTCGCCATGTGGATCTCCTCCTGGGCGGTGATCAAACTCATGCTGAAGTGGCTTTAGCTTCTTAGTGCTGTGTTTTAACCCGCTGAACCACCAGGGAGGGTCCATCTTTTAAAAATTTTAATTGATTTTTTTCAATTGAGATAACTGACTTACATTATTGTTGGTATTTTGTAAGTGTAGGATCCCCCTCGGGCATCTCCACCATAGTGCACCCATAGTCTGTGTGCTGTGCTTGTCTCCCTCTTTCTTACCAACCTTCACCGGCCCACTCCTGTGAGTGTTTCTAAGGGTGTTGTCTACTCCCCTACTCATTTTTAAACTCTTGCTGCAAACTATAAAAGTCTGATGGAGATTTAGATGGTATATTGCACATATGCTTACATGACTGTAACTTTACTAAAGTACTATTACCACACACCTCACATACAACAAATATACAAATAATAAGCAAATGGATTTGAAAACTCCAAAATTCTAACTTTTATGTTCCTTTACGGGTAAGGTTGTCTAATAGAGACAGAAAGAGTAGAAGTAGCTGAGTGTGCCTTACAGGACAATAATAATAATAATGTAGGTGACTTTTCTAATGACAGAGATATATTTTTCTTCTCGGTAGCTGCTGCTATGCTTGCCTTATTTTAGCAAAGCATCTGTGTGGGTCCACTAATCTCTGTTTCCATTTTCGATTTCAGTTTCTGCTAACTTCTGCTATCTGCTTCTTATGTTATCTGTTCTTTCCTTCCTGTTAACTCTTCAGAATTTTCCATTTTCCATGGCTCCACCTATGTCCATACTCTTCTGGGAAAATGGTTGTTCTACAAAAGACATTGGTCAGCTTGCCAAAGAGAAAGAGAATCTAATTGGCTGACTGTCATAATATTTGGTTGATTTTGTTATTGAAACAGACAAAGAAATCTGTAGTCTACTTTTTCTCTGGTTATTTTTTATCTGTGAAATGAAAATGAATCACCTACCCACATGATTCTCATGAGGATGAGAAGAGATGATATCTACATCCATAAAATGAAGGCATAAAGCAGATCTCTGCTCACAGTGTTAGCTGTATTTTTATTCCAGTATCAAGGCAGACTATAATATTAAATTATAAAGAATTTGATTCAAGTATTAATACCTAGTCTATTTTTGTTATTTACTTTCTTCTTCAAGAACCCTCCAACGTTTTATGCTCCTATTTAACTCTTTCAATTTACACACACACACAAGTCTAGATGGTTGTGTGTCTTTTACTTAGTAAATATACAATGTTTAAGAGTAATAATTTTTAGGTCTACGATTTTTCAAGTTTTTGTTATCTGTACTTTATTTCAGTGCTGCAGGTGGAGAAATTTTCAACTTGTGTTTACCTGAGCTGGCTGAAATGGTTTCTGAAAATGACATTATCAGACTCATTAAGCAAATACTTGAAGGAGTTTGTTATCTACACCAGAATAATATTGTACACCTTGATTTAAAGGTAATATAGCATGTGATTTTAAGCAACACAGCACTTGTTTCTTTTCTGCTCTTGCTCTGCACATTGCAAGCTGGGACTGATAGGAAAGAGCAGTCAGATCAACTTGTCTATACTGCCGTGGGCATGTACTTTGTTTACCAATGAGCTACATGGATGTACTTTTATTTTGGTAGAGAGGAGCAGTCTGCATAGATGAGCAGCTCGAATAATCACTGGAATCTTAAAAACCATCATCCCTATATGTTCATCCCATTCCACCCCATTCTTAATGCTACATCTTTCTTATCATAATAAAACTACCTCTAAAATTAAATACTGAATGTGGCCTGCGTCTCTAAAGATAACCTCCACCTCCTTGCATGAGCTTTTGACCTCCACAACCACTTTTATTTATAAATGACTGTCAAGTCTCTACCTGTAACCTTTGCCTCTCTTCTAAATTCCATATCATTTTTTCCCAGCTGCTTATTAGATACCAGTTAGATGATAGATGATCTGTACAAACTTTATAAATTACATGTCTCAAATGTAATTTTTCCCTTTGTTTTACCTCTTTAAAAAAAAAAAAAGAAAGAATCTGCTCTTTGTTGCCCTTCCCATTCCCATGACTCCCTGTCATGTCCCTGACTGGTGATATTGGAACTGGCAACATGGTCATTAATAACAGGGTACTCATACCCCATACCCCAAGTAACTTCCTGTTGGGTCTTCTCTCTCTCTCTTTCCTTTTTTTCTTTGTAGAAGACAAACCAAGTGTTTTACATAGCATCACATAACACTTAGAATCAGGGCTGACATATAAACCTGGCTTTATGTATGATAATGTTAGTAGTTGACAGCAGAGATACAACCTCTTCTCTTGTAATGGACCTCAGTAAACAGACTAAGTATAAAGCAAAGGTATATGGTTCCAGGAGGCGATGAACAAAACCTTCCTCTCACTGTGCCATGACCACTGTCTAAACTAAAATAGTCAGACCCAGAACCATCACACTATACTGAGTCATTTTCTGTTTCTGGAACTTGCATTTTTCCATGTCTCCTTAGTTCTACTTAGTTCTCCTTAGTTCTCCTTGTGCACATTCCTAACTGGCAGATCCTGTTACCCTTTATGCATGAACTTTCAGCAACAGCTTGAACATCATCTCTATGATGAAGCTTTCTTGAACATTATAATGGATACAGTCTTGTCTATATTTTGAGTTTTATAGTTTATAACCAGCTTATCTATATATCTGACTTCTTTGTCCTCTAAACTAGAATCCTCTTTAAGTCTATTTTTTACTTTATGTCTCATCGAATTTGCACATCCTCCCAAATAGTAAATTTCTGATGATTGATTCAACCAATGCATAATAGCTAATAAATAAATTCCACTTTATTTATAAGACTAGCATTCTTTTATTGTTGTATATTGCTTTTGATTTTTTGTTGTTGTGTTCTGTTTAGCCACAGAATATATTATTGAGCAGCACATACCCTCTAGGGGATATAAAAATTGTAGATTTTGGAATGTCTCGAAAAATAGGCAATGTATGTGAACTTCGGGAAATCATGGGAACACCAGAGTACTTAGGTAAGAATTTCCTTTTATTTTCTATACCATTTTGAATTTATTATCTGGAAATTATAATTCTATAAAACTATAATTTGGTAGGATATATGTGATTCAAGTATTTTAATGCATTGAAATTTAGCTGTGATACATTTAAATGAGCTATAAGGTTATTGACACATTCACAATTCACAGATGTTGGGCATATAAATTCAACAGTTTAATGTTTGTATGTAATGACATTGTATATAAAGGAAAATGGGTAAATGGAAAATTAGGGAATAGAAAAAAGAAAAATAGAGGAAAACACAGAATCACATTTCTTAGAAGCCAGGCTGTTAGATAAATTTCTGTCCTGGTCCCAACTCCAAAGCTGTTTATAATATAAACATCTTTGGGTTTTCAGGGAGTGTTAGGGGTGTTCCATGCTATTTGTTGTAGCTGCTTTAAAATGTGAAGTCTTTCCTAGGACTATAAAAAGAGGGACTTAAAGAGGAAGGTTTCCCAAAGAATCTATGGTTAGCTAATTTAGGAATAGTCTACTAAATCAACAAATTAGATATTCAGATGAGAGATTAAGTTGTATGGAGCAACATGTAAGTTTAAAATATCTTAATTTAAACTCAATTAAAACAAATCCTAGAAATATGAATGCAAAATGGAGACTACTAGAGGGGGCAGGTGGGTGGTCATGAGAACACACTGGGGAGGGGGCCGAGTGGTCTGTGGTGAAAGACTGTAGGTGCTTTGGTGTGCTAGGTGTGGTGTGGTAGTATACAACTGAAGAGCTGCAACTCTGTTCCCCTAAGTCATATGCAGTATTGTGAACCAATGTTACCTCAATAAAAAAAGTAAAACACTTTAATTTATATTATAAAAATTAACATTTTTATACTTTTTTATTGTTGTTTACATTGCTATCCTGATGCAGGCATTGACAAGCTATCATTAAATAGAACCAGTGTAGCTAACTTTCCTAACAATTAAAAATAAAGCAAATTATTAACTTTTGAATGCTAATAGGAACTAGAGTATCCCTAATTCTAGATTACACATTTCACTGAAGAATGTGAACAAGTTGTATGTGGTATAATGGAGGCTGACATATATTTCTCAAAGGCTGTATTTACAAAATATTAGAGTTTAGTATCCAATTTCTTTTTGGAAAAATTGTGAATCAATATTGTGATAAAAAGAAAGATTTCCAATTATACAACCTAGTTTGGACACCTTTAATTGGAGATATATAGTCATGTTTAGGAATTATAGAGAATTTATTAACACTTTTTAAAAATCTTGGCATCTGAAGACAATGAGAAATTCATTGCTTTTATAGTTTAAGAGGGATATTTGTTCTATTTGAAAATTGAAAAGTCCTCCAGAAGCATAATTTGCTTATAAAGTTATTGTAAATGTATATGATTCCATTTTCTGAAAAGAAAACTTAGGTAATATAATAAAATAATGCAAAATAATTCATTACTACAACTAAAAATTTAAAAATAGCCTAGTTTGTATCATTTTCTTTGTTCCTATTCTTTTCTTTTGAGGTTAATTATTCCAAGAATATTATTTGTGCTTTTAAAACATCGGATCATCAATGCTATGCTAAATTTCTATCAATCCTATAGTAATGGTTTAAAATTAAACCCAGTTTTAGTGTAATGCATTTTTTGTGTTTTTAAATTTGTCAGTATTGAATATTGTTTTCTCTTTTCAGCTCCAGAAATCCTGAACTATGATCCTATCACCACAGCAACAGATATGTGGTAAGATGTCGTGATCTAAATGCCTTTATTTGAAATTGGGTGGCATATAGTTTTTGATTCCATATGTAAATAAGTAAGACTTTCTTGAAAAGATTTTATTCAGGTATCATTATTATGTCACAGGTAAACATTTTTTTTTAAAGATTTATTTATTTATGCATACAGACCTGGGGTACAGACCAGAGGTGCAAGGGTAGTGAAAGAATCCACCAGAGAACAGAGTGGGGAACAGAACAGGTTGACTGACGAAGTACACTGCTGAGGGCAGCGAGCCGGTCAGGAGTGGTCTGCCATGCCCTGTGGGTCACCTCTTGGGTGGGGATCGAACTCTTGCTGAAGTGGCTTTAACTTCTTAGTGCTGCACCTTAACCCACTGCACCACGATGGAAGGCTCTACCTGTCCTTTTGTTTTTGTTTTTTTTTTTTTTTAAATAGTAATTTTTTTTTTAAAGATTTATTTATTTATTCATACAGAACTGGGGTACAGGCCAGAGGCTCAGGGACGGTGAGAGGCTTCACCAGAGACAGAGTGGGGAGCAGAACAGGCAGATTGACGAAGTACACTGCTGAGGGGAGCAGCGGGCGGGTCAGGAGAGGTCTGGCGCGCCATGTGGCCCAATCTGGGGAAGGCGGGAATCGAACTCATGCGGAAGTGGCTTCAGATTCTCAGTGCTGTGCTTTAACCCGCTGCGCCACCAGGGAGGGCCTCTACCTGTCCTTTTTAAAGTAATATTTATCCTTGAGGAAGATTCAGTCTTAGTAAAAATGAAATAGTTGTTATGTGCTCTGCTACATGTTCTACCTTAAAGGTAAAATGCCTAAAGAGCATGGAGGAAATTCTAGACAAGCACTTGAGACATTTGATCTAGGGCTTAGAACTAAGAAGCTATTTGTTAAAAAGAAAAATGAGGTCAGGCCTGTGCAAAAGTTTAATTTTCAAAAGTCCATCTCTAGGATTTTGTGAGTTTTTGTAGTTAGTACAGAAAGAATATCATAAGCTGAACTGGAATTGATATTGGAACTTTAGTGGGGAACTAACTTCACAGGTCAAGTGAGAGACTTTAGACTTATTCTCTGTATTCCAAGGAATTGCTAAAGGGTTTGCCAAGGAAATTGTCCTGTGGCTAAGTAAGTAGGTGGAACAGGTACTTCTGGCACCTGAACATTGAACTTGTCATTAACAGGTTTAAGACTGAAAGTTTTGCAGTGAAAAAAGCTGCCTTCCCAATTGTATACTTTGCCAAATTTGTAGACTATTTTTTTGCTTAGAACTCTTTGTTTATGCCTCACAGATCATTATTGTGTCATTGGACACCATTTAGGAGATGCTCTTAGAGCAGCTTTGTGTACTTGGCACCAGGTGTCTTTGTGAATGACAGAGTGTAGGTATAATGATGTATATTTAATACATTGTATTATATTACACACATCTGTGTTTCCATTTTATGTGAGTCAGTCTTTAAGATAACATTATTTAGTTTTAATAATTTATTATAGGAACTTTAAAAGCAATGTGTTTGTAGTTTAAGTTTGTAGTTTAACTGTGTAAGTTTTGAGGATAGCAGTAGATTGAGTATTAATTTTATTTAAATATTTTAAGACTAACATGTTTTAAGTTTCTCTCTTCCCCCTTAAATGTTTTTCAGGAATGTTGGGGTAATAGCCTATATGTTGTTAACTCATACATCCCCATTTGTGGGAGAAGATAACCAAGAAACATACCTCAATATTTCTCAAGTTAAAGTAGATTATTCAGAAGAAACTTTTTCATCAGTTTCACAGCTGGCCACAGACTTTATCCAGAGCCTTTTAGTAAAAAATCCAGAGTAAGTAATTTTTATTAATTTGCATACTTTACAAAATAAGTATACTTACAAAGAAAATACATTTTAAAATGATAGAAAATTACTAGACATATGTATGATCTCAGATTTCAGGTAAAGTGGAGAGAAAGCTGGTATGAGAGATCATTAACTAACAAATCTGTAACTACAAACACAGAAAATAAAAAATGTAGACTAGAAAATTTTAGAATTTTACTATGACAGTTGTGTGAAGAATCAAATTATGGGCCTATAGGATTCTCTTAACCCAAATCCCTGAAATTCCCTAAAATAATTACAAATGGGTTTATATTACATATTTGCTGTGCTAAGACTTTATTTTAAAGTGATTTGTAGTTTAATAGTTATAGTAATATGATAAATACAAATTACTGATTGTCAAATCCTTAAGGATCAAGATGTTCTTTGATCGCCTAGTAAAGAAGGAACTTGAAACTTTGGTTTAGGACTATTACCTCATTGGTTGGCAATGTCAAAGCAGGAATAGAAAAAGCTGACCACCTTTTATCTAGTGTCAGCCTTATATTACTTTATTTTAAAGTAAATTTTATACCTAATGACGTATAATGCAGCTGGTGTGAGATGGTGGGTTCTGGTTTTGTTACTTGTAAGTTTTACATGTTTTATAGTTATTTAATCTGCATGATTTAGTTTCCCTGTTAGTTTAAGAGGGGAAAATCACATATTTAAATAATTCTTTTATCGACTTAATGACAGTATGAACAAATGCTTAGCTGGTAATATTTTGGCTATGGATGGTTATATTTAGTAGAAATAGTAATAATGCCATAATTGCTTTAGATTAAAGCATTTTAATTAAGTGTTTTCTTAAGTTTTTATAAAACTTTTATAGTAGGCACATTAATTTTTTTTTAATAATCAGAAGGAACTAAAATTCAAAGATTGAGGAAACATGTTCTACTGATGACAGTTGTGTTAAGAATCAAATTATGGACCTATAGGTGCTTTCTTCTCTTCTGAAACATTATGATGTTTGCTCAAGTTACTTTCATAATAGAAAATAAAGATGACTCAAAATGTCATCAGAAAAGTAACCTTTGTTTTCAAGGCTTTGCTTTACAAATTACTTCTTTTAAGAATACAAAATGATAGCAGAATGTAAATATTTATATATAATTTTCTTTGAAGCATTTATATACCATCAGTATTTTATAATTTTACTAATTTTGACTTGTGAGGCTAACATTTGTTCTCAAGTTAACTGACTAAACCGTTTCATTTGTAAGCACTATGGTAAGAATTTTCAGGATTTTTACCAAGTAAAGATACTTTAAATACTCCAGTTTTCCTATTATTCTTTCTGTACTATTTGAGTTTTATATCACAGTTTATATTATTTTCATAATAAATGAAAAAGAAGTCAGTAATACAGCAAACTGCTGACATTTCCAACTAGATTTTTATTTTTTAACTTTCTCTTGGTGCTTTTTTCAAAGGAAAAGGCCAACAGCAGAAATCTGCCTCTCGCATTCATGGCTACAACAGTGGGACTTTGGAAACTTGTTTCACCCTGAAGAAACAAGCTCCTTTCAGATTCAGGATCATACAGTACGGTCCCCTGAAGACAAGAATTCTAAATCCTCTTGTAATGGAACATGTAGTGATCGGGAAGATAAAGAGAATATCCCGGAGGAGAGCAGCATGGTTTCCAAAAGATTTCGCTTTGATGACTCACTGCCCAATCCCCATGAACTTGTGTCAGATTTACTCTGTTAGCACTTTTATCTTTGACTCATGTGGACTGAATTTGGAATTTAAAATTCATTTCAGTGTCAGATTGTAGTTCCCAACGTTGTATATGGAATGTTTATATTATAATGCACTTTTGCATAAAAGAATTTAGGAAAGCACTTGAATGCTAAATTACTACTTACTAGTATCACTTCATCTCCATTCACAAGGGATAAACTCTGTGGAAGAATATATTTAAATATATGGCCAAAAAATTGTGTGTGTGAGTCCACATGTTAATGAAAAAATCAAGAAAAATTGGATTTTTCAAAACATTTTACATATATAGAAAAAGCGGTTTGAGTTATATTGTGGTTGATATAAACTGAGCAAAAGGAAGAATTTAATAGGCTAACTAAGTTAAGTCCTATATCAGGCCTCTGTTGACAAAATTTTATTTAAGGTAGCAGTGCCACGCTTAGGTAAAAATATATAATATTTTATATATGATCTAGAGACATTTTACATTTGAAAATGGTTTTCTATCATGTATATTTTAAAATTGCATATGTTTTCCACTATATATAGCCTGCTATGTGAATGGTCTTTTGAGCCAGAGTAAGGGAGGGATTAGAAACCTATCAGGGAGACTCAGTAAAAGTTGGAGCAGAGAAAAAAAAGTGCTACTTTTTAAAAAGTCCTCTGCAAGATGGGAAATAGATTTGGTACAAGTGTAAAGGGCTTCATCCTCTAGAATTTCTGGGGTAAAGTATACATAAAGGGTAAAACCGAGTACTATTTTTAGTCAGTCATATTTCTTAAGAGTAGAAGAAAATACTGGTAGACAGGCAACTTACAGAATTTTAGATGTCTTCTAAGTCTTAGTATACAAACCAATCATTTAAAGATCTAAAAATATTCATAAAAATACCACAGCACCATTAGTACTTTTAACACAGAGCAGTCAGCAATATGAGTCAGCAGGTAAGTATCATCATAGGATATAGTGACATCCAGCTCTTCTGAAATTCTTGTATAAAATTCTTAATGACTGAGGAGACTCACCTACAAAATGGCCTTTAATGGCCTTTTTGCTAGGACTAATGTGAAGAATTTAGGAGAACAGATAGTATGAATATGCCTGTGCCATATTTAGCCCTCATCGGGGGAAATGTACTCCTTTTTGGGTGTTTGATGACTTGGTACCTGATAACTATTTTAAAAATATGCTGTTATAATATTAGAATAATTATAATCTCATGAACATTTTACTGTATCAAAAGAAATGGTTTGACTAAAAATATCTTTGAATTTCCTCCCTTTGAATTATACATTACTCTGACAACTGTTAGCAACTTGAAACTTTGATAAGATCCCAGATAACTTTAAATCATTTTTAATAATGATTTAATCAGGTTGCTTTATTTGGCCAAATGGTGAATGACTTTTTTTATCCCCAGTATTTTTTAAAGAAGAGGTTTTTTTTTTTTTTTAGTGTGTGCATGTGTGTGGTGTGTGTCTGTGTGTGTGTATAAATAGATGAAATGTGGTCATTTGGGAACTTTTTCATAGAGATTCTTTAGTATGTTGTGCTCAACTCAGGTGCCAAAGGAACTTATGACATGTAAATATACATTTCAGTTCCTGAAGTTGTAGTTTGTTGGTTCTATAAACTAGACATTGCAGCAGCTAAATTGGGTTCTTGTGTATTTAAAACTGTTAAGTCTTTTTCTAAATTGTTGATTGTTCATTTGCCTTCAGTATTAAAGCTTAATACAGGTAAACTGAATTAGAATTTGATTACATTTCCAAAAGACCTTATTATGCATTTGAATTTTTAGAGGAGTTATGCCATACAAAAAAAAAAAGTTTAAATTTTTAATTATAAACTAGTTCTTGAAAATAATTATATCCATTTTGTTTGACTCTAAGGAATCTTAAAATCGTTTATATACTTCCCCCACTTAATATAATTAACAGAGTTGTAAGTTTGCAAACCCTTTTTCCTAACAACTTTTATTGTAAAAAAGCAATTAGTGGTTCTACAAACAGTAAAATATCAAATTTTTTATATATAAGGATGAATTTAAATATTTTTACTGATTCAATTGTGAAAACAAATTAAGCCAATCTGTAGAGTTAGGAGATAGCTCAGTTCTTACTCCTTTCCTCAAAATATTGAAAGCAAATGTCTATCAGAAGCAGATAATATATTTCACTAACGTAGGAACCTAGAGAGCCACTGTGAGGGAATATGTCAGCAACAAACATCTGAAGATTCATGTGAATGAGTTTGTAAAGTTTAATTTGCTTTTAGGGTAGATCTGGGTAGAAAATATGAATGAGGTGTAAGTGATAACTACAATTACCATTTTAGTTTTTATCCCCCACAGTAAAGTTAGCCTGTGTGAGCAATAAAATTATAATGGCACTTTAAAGAGGTGGACAGTACCTGTTCTCCAGCCTATAATGAGATAAAGTGCCTATGCCAGAATATAAATCAACAGTTGCTTCTTTTTAGTTTGTGAACTAGTGTGACTCGTGACATATTGACTTCTGGCACAAGCTCTTTCTTTCATTTTTGATGGGTAGCAACTAGTTAATGAACCGTACTTCAAATAGCCTTGCTCTGAGAACATTTAAATGTTGATGTTTCATGACTGTTTACATTTCTTCTGTTTTTTAATTTTCAGCTTAATATCTGACTTGGAAGCTTGTCCTTAGTCATTGTGTGACAAGTTGTACTTTAATTTCAAGTTGTGTTATTTGAAATTGTATTAATGTTATCTGACTTCCAATTGGGGGAATTATTATCAATGTATAATTTTACAAAATTTTAAGAACTTTGTGAATTTTAAACAGTGGGGACAGCCTTGTATTTTAACTTTCATAAGTAATCTTGAGGCTTTAAAGCATATAGGCCAACATTATTATGAATATGCCAGCTTGAAAAAAACTACATCAACTTAATGATCCTTTTATTTAAAAATTAAAATGCACTTTTTTAACACTTGTGTTTATATTTTGCTTTAAGGTGTTTCTAAGTTTGTTATTTTTAAAAGTAAACCTACTTACTTAGAGGTTGTAACCTTTGATCCACACCATTTTTGAACTTCCCTATCGATATATTTATAATCTGTTGAAAAGGTCACATAGATGTTAAAAGAAATATTCTCTGGTAATACTTATAGAAACTGCCAATGGATGATGGAGCTTACATGTTACATAAAGGTAAGGGATTCTTCAAACTTACAATTGGGTTTAGGCTAAGGTATAGTCTCCATTTTTTTTTTTTTTTTGAAGATTAACTTAGTTATGCATATAAGAACTGAGGTACAAGCCAGAGGTGGGGGGGCTTGGGAGAGGTGAGAACATTCACCAGAGAGACTGGGGAGCAGAATAGTCAGATCTACTGAAATACACTGCAGAGAGGAGCAGTGGGCAATACAGGAGAGGTCTGCCTCGCCATATGGTTACCTCCCAGGTTGAGGACAATTTGTGCTGCAGTGGCTGTGGATAGCTTCATAGCGCTGTGCTTTAACCTGTTGCACTACCAGGGCGGGCCCAGTCCCCATTTTACAGTAATTACATTCTCTAATTTTTTCCATAAGCACTGAAACATTGCTCTTAGGGAAATAAAGGGCCAGGTTCCTGCAAGCTTCTGTTCATAACATAACCAATCAACATGTAACTTTGTTATATATGTTAATATATGTAATATAATCGATGCATTAACATTGAGCTTATGGTGGCCGATAGCACTATCATGTCTCAATGAAGCTTATCTAATACATTTTTTTTTTCATAAGGGAAGTTGCAGTTTTCTGTGTAAAAACACTACATGTTCCTTCAGCATTATCCTCTGTGGCAACTGTCAACAGTGAAATCACCAAAGTACAAAAATCTAAAAACATGACACTAAATAGATTTCAACAGGGCCATTTTTCTTACAGTATTAACGGCTGAAAAAAGAAAAGCAAAATTCCACCTGGGTCAACTTCAACTAGGAATGTGTGCCAGACTACTCAAGTGTTTCAACTCTGAACATTTCTACAAATGACTGAAAACAAATTACATGTTGACTTGGGCTTACAAAATTCATAGAATAGTGAATTTATAGAAATAGTGTTCTCAAATAACCATATATTGCCAGATACTAAGAAACAGATGCTGTGAAGAGACAGGTGCTGTGCTGAACTTGACAATTAATTGTATCTGTAGGAAGTAGAATTTCTACTTGTTGGAACTTTTTAATATGAGCACTATTCCTTTAGAAAATAAGAAATCCTATTTTTCTGGTAAATAGGTACTTCCAAAATGAACTCTAACCTCAATTTTATTCCTGAGCACCCAGGTCATATTTATTGTCTGCACATAAGTATCCTTAAATATAAAATAGCTCTAACTGAAACATGATCATATTTTCCCTTTCTGTATTACATCCTTAACCAAAATTCCTGTTTTCATGTTACCTTTCTTTGTTAACACAGATAGGACAACGAAATCTCTAGTCATTCTAAAATTTTTGTTTCCTTACAGCAATTCTTTCAAATTAGTCACTGCTTTTTATCAGTTATATCTCCTTCACATATAGTTATCTCTTGATCCTTACTGGTTTAAGTCTATCATCTAGATTTAGATAACCTAGATTATGTAAAGAGAGATTAGCAACTTTTTCTATAAAGGCCAACTTATTACATAACTTAGATTTTGCAGGTAACTATATGTGTCATATGTATTCACTTCTGCTTTTGAAGTATTAACAATCATAGATAATGTGCAAACAAATGGGTATAATGAGAGAACTGCATAAAAACAGACAATGGGGCCCTCCCTGGTGGCACAGCGGGTTAAAGCACAGCACTGAGAAGCTAAAGCCACTTCCGCATGAGTTCGATCCCCGCCTTCTCCGGAGGTGACCACATAGCTTGGCAGACCTCTCCTGACCCGCCCGCTGCTCCCCTCAGCTGTGTACTTCGTGGATCTGCCAGTTCTACTCCCCACTCTGTCTCTGGTGAACCCTCTCGCCGCCCCTGAGCCTCTGGCCTGTACTGCAGTTCTGTATGCGCAAATAAATAAATCTTAAAAAAAAAAAAAAAACTAGTCATAGAATGGAATGATTTCTCTGTAATGGTGAGTTCACAAGTAGATGAGAAAATAGTAAGAAAGAAGAAGTTACAGGTATATATTGACCTTCCAAGAAATCTAAGGAGATAGGAGAAAAACAATAATGTGAAGAGTTTTGAAAAATTCTTTAGGATGAGGAGGATTTGAAAATTTAAGTGGGAAAAGGAGAAGTTTACTTGGAGGCAGCAATCAAAATGCATGACAGTGCAGGATGAATAGTGATAGAAAATATTAGAGAAAGGATGTGATCTCAAGCACAAATGGGATGTTCAATCTTGGCTGGAAGGAGAAAAAACACTTTTAACTCTATCAACCAAAAAGAAAAAAAAAAAAGGTGAATCACATAATTCCCTGTGAAAATGTATCATCACTAGCATACCTCAACAATGATTATCCCTAGTGATGTATAAGAAAGCCATGACTCTGCCCTAAAAGTAACTTAAAAATGGTAATGTATTTTCCTAGGTGCTTATCCAAAGAATATGAAGACACTAATATTAAATGATATATGCATACTTACATTCATAGCAGCATTAATCATAACAGCCAAGACTTGGAAACAACCTCCCATCAATGGATGACTGGATAAAGATGTTGTGTTACATATACTTGTGGAGCACTGATCAGCTATTAAAAGAGATAATATCATACCACCTTTGATAATGTCACTCGAACTTGAGCTGATTATGTTAAGCGAAATAAGTCAGAAAGTGAAAGACAATTACAAGATGTTTTCAGTCAATTGTGGAATTTGGATCATCAAAGAAAACTCACAAGACAGCAAAAATAACTTTTAGACTCCAAAAATATGGTGGTTGCCAAATAGAAAAGGAAAGGAGGATAGGAATGGTAGGATGGATAGAAGGGTTAATATGACAGTGTGATGGCACTAGAACTTAGGTGTTGGGTGAGTAAAGCAAATACATATAGTGAGATGTGAAGATGTACTCCTCAAATTACTTAATTTTGTAAATAAATGATGAATCAATAAATTCAAATTAAAAAAAAAAGAAAATGGATGACAATAGAAGTAGAAGGAAGTTTCTCCATTATTAAGGGAAGTAGTTATAACTTGAAGAGTGAAAATTCGGCAAGAATAGAAAAATTCTTACCAGTGTCAAATGAGTACAAGTTACAAACTGCCAGGAAAAGCAGACTTTTAATTACCAAATATCTTCATTTGTGATTAAATCATTGTGTAAAGTATCTGGCTACATTGTTCTTATAATAACAATTTCTGTTTTCTGCCTGTACTTTTCCTGCATATGTCTCAAGATTGTGTTTCTTGCATTCGGGAGGTATATGATAGCACTCTAAGTAAGAGAAAGTCTTCCCAGAGATTTTATTTGC